GTCTGCAATTCTGAAATAGAGTATAACGAGTTTTGGCAGTGGTTCGGACATTCTGAGTCCATGGTTCTGATTCGATGGTTAGCGTTAGCGACATATAGCGTTAGTGATGTCTGTAATAGTGTAATTGGTACACTTCCAAAAGAAATGTAATACCCACAGTTTTCGAAAATGCGGCACATTTTCAATATCAGTGCCCCGGCCAACACTAGGCTACAGCTCGCACAATGTATTTTCAGCTCGATCACTAACAATGACGTAGTATCACTGACTAACCCCTACTTTCAACAGCCATCACAGAATTCAGAATGAATGGAAAGATTAAATACTCTTCAGATGTGAATACTCCCTTCACCCTGCGCTCATCCACATAAGCGTCATCTTAGTCATGGCTGTCGAATTCAGACTGAGAGTAAAATAAAGAACAGTGATAAAAATGACATTTATATTTTGCCTCCGAAGGAAAAACGATTCACGCTAATTTTGTCACACAGTGTATTAATTCAAATGCTTATCTGTCAACGGAGCGTTGTCATGCCAACAGACCTCCCACGCAGCGGACGGGAGAGATGGATTTGCTCCCTTGTTAGGCGAAATAGGTTTGTGTGGCCAGCTAATGATGTTTTATTGGTGTTACACGCATTCACCTTCTCATGGCTTTCCTAAGCAATCCAAACGGCAGCCCCCAAGGCAGAACATCTGTAGAATCTGTGATGGTTACCATTATGTGCAGCTGAGCCATATGACGATATTATCGGTAATCGAGTAACCCGGTATCGATATCTTGACAGAGACTAACTGTTGATTAACGCCTTTGTCGGGAAAGTATACGCTCTATCCGCACAAAGCAAGATAACAGAAAAATTTATGATTTAGCTTCTATTTCATTCCTTCTAGCCTATATTTCCAAATCAGTTAAACACACAGGCGCCCACACAAAGGTTTTATTTTAGCTCCTTCTTCTGCCTGAGAAGGTAAGTACCTGTACACATTGGTTACAATGTTGGTTCGCACTTAGGTCTTACCATCAGTTTGCCAAACAGTACATTAGATGGTTTAGGACATGTTTTTATCATAATGGTCATAATTATACCTGGTTCGCCAATCCATCGTTTTCCATAGAGACCAAAGCCATTTCACACCTATAGTTCGGTTCTCCTGTCATTCCTACTGTATGTTATTCAGTATTATTTGATCTCCGTCAGATACTTTCAGTCGCATACCTGTGAAATGTTCTGCACAAATAACCATATCGTATCTTTCGTTTTTACTAATAAACTTTTAAAGTAGACTGCAGGGACTAAACAAAATATAAAAATATCTTCCTGTACATATTATTTTAACGGATTTTCTTTTCAATTTCAGTTATTGCATTTCATGTTTGACCTTTGTAACATGGGTGCCCTCTTATCTAAATTATTTTGGAATTAGTTGGACTGCTGAGACGTGATTTTTATAGACTTTATTATATTACATGTAGAACATAAGAACTATACAAACGAGAGGAGGCCATTCGGCCTATCGAGCTTGCTTGGTGGAGAACTTAACTAATAGCTCAGAGTTGTTAAAATCTTATCTAGCTCTGATTTAAAGGAACCCAAAGATTCAGCTTGCACTATGTTATCAGGAAGACTATTCCATACTCTGACTACACGCTGTGTAAAGAAGTGCTTCCTTAAATCCAGCTTGAAATGTTCTCCCGCTAATTTCCACCTACAGTATGACCACGAGTTCTTGTATTTGAACTAATGCTGAAGTAACTAATCGGTTGAACAGCATCCAAACCTGTTAGAATCTTATAGACCTGGATCATGTCCCCCCCTCAGTCTCCTTTGCTTGAGGCTGAACAGATTTAGCTCAACTAACCTTTCCTCGTATGACATTCCTCTAAAACAGTGTTTCCCAACCCAGGCCTCGGGGAACCCCGGACAGTCTATGTTTTTGCTTCCTCTCAGCTCCCAGCGCACCTGTACCAGGTATTCCGTGTTCCTGATTGGCTGGGAGCTGGGAGGGAGCAAAAACGTGGAATGACCGGGGTTCCCCGAGGACTGGGTTGGGAAACACTGCTCTAAAAGACCAGGAATCATTCTTGTGGCCCTACGCTGCACCTTTTCTAAGGCTGCAATGTCCTTTTTAAGATATGGTGACCAAACCTGCACACAATATTCTAGGTGAGGTCTCACCAAGGAATTGTATAATCTTAGCATTACCTCCCTTGACTTAAACTCCACACACCTGGAGATATACCCCAACATCCTATTGGCCTTTTTTATTGCTTCCCCGCACTGGCGAGAATGACACATGGAAGCATCAACATACACACCAAGGTCTTTCTCATAATCAGCTACCTTTATTTCAGTAGGTCCCATAAAATACCTAAATACATGAATAGTGAGCGGAATTTCGCCCGACGGAACGATCTTTTGGGAATCTGTTCCCACACGTCGGACACGTTGATGAATCGGAACTCCAACTTAAATTGGAAGACTTGTCGAAATAAGTCAGACTTTCCCTTAATCCTGCTTGGTGGGACTGCCCCCTGGTTTGCTACTGGAGCCGTTTAGCTGAAATTCGCAGAGGACACCTGGAAGTTGGGTCGGATTGAGGTCGGATCACGTTCGCACCAGAATCAGTCTGCTCCCGAGTACGTTTGGGACCGGGCCGAGACCACCTCCTCTCAAGGGTCTCGGTATGGTTCTTTTGGTCCGCACCCAAGTGCGATTACTGTGCTCACACCTGCCCAAACGAATAGCATCAAGGGGGAAATCGCATCAGGGTCCGTTTTAATCGGACTTAAAAAGTGCTGGTGTGAAAACACCGTCAAAAAGGACCACTAATCAGCACATCCCGCCCCTCCCCGGTCGGTTAGAGGCTATCCATAGATTATGATGTCCCAGGGTGGTGACACACATCTTGCGGGGCTTTCTGTGGTCTCACAACTGTGGTATGATTCATGGATTTATTGAATATGATCATAATATGACTTTTAACTGGTAAATGCAGAATCTGACATTCATTTCTTATTTAGCTTTTTTCTTATTTTGGCTTAGCTGAATCACCAGTTTCGACTGCTTATTTGTGTGGGAATACAATTTTAGATATTCTTGTAGATGTTTGCAATGTAGCGAGTCTGTATAACTCAAGATTATGGAAGTAAATCTGAGTCATCACAATTTGAATTTTATATTCCACTGAAATTCTAACATTGAATATTTATGCATTGGAAATATACATCGGAAATCCGATGGTCCGAATTCACATGCAAAAATATGAGGTTAAAAATACAAAGACAACATTTCTAAGTTATTCAAAGCATTACAAGATAGATTTTCTGAAGTTATCTGAACAAATAGGTCAGCTATGTAACTTCTGATATATAAAATATCAATGAGCTAAGTTTCGTGGTTTTTGAAATTTATGAAGGAATCCGTAATTGCAGTGATACAGGTACAGGATCTTTAGTATAGTAACTAATTTTTATTTATGACCACAAGAGGGCAGTGCTGCACTGGCATTTTGTGTGTGCATAAAATGTGTGGTCCCTGTTATCCTATACTATACAAGACTTTAAAAAGTAAAAGAATACTATAGACACTAACTTTGGGAAAATGCATAAAAAGCAACTTAACAAATTTATTAGCAGAACTTTTTTTTACCAAATGCTTGAGTCAACAATTGAATGTATCATAGGGTGGAAAGACAATAAAACATCCAAAACTATGTATCACCTAATACTGTAATTGCTGAGCAAGATAGTCACACCAGTGCACAAGTATAAATGCTCACCACGGTGTACACCACTTGCATATATCATGGTGTATGCTCGACACAAAGGTATAAATCAGCCCTAAGTGGATGGACAATTGGATGTTTGTCTGGAGGTGCACGTCAGACTACAGTGTAGGGTATGCTCTACACTGCACCTACACTATACTGATGCCATAGGTTCTACGCAGAAGTATAAATCAGCTTTAAAGGTTCCGGTAGGGCTGTGAGGTACTGATGTCCTTGACTGAAAAGGGCAGTTTATCAACAATCACACGTGAGCCTCAGTCACAATGCGAGGCATACTCTTCTCCAAATGCAGCGTTTGCTGTGCTGCGTTGGAAACATACTCAGCTCCAACCATCCGCCTATGATGTTTTACAGCTCTGTAAATTAATATTTTAAATAAATAGCCTGTGTTTTATTTGTCATTGTTGCTGAGAAGGTCCTCCAGGTGTCCCGTCATATTGGCCACGTTAACACGATCCTCATCACCGGCTCACAATGTTAGCCAACACAATTTTTCTGTTCTTACACCTCTGTTTGGCTCCCTTCCTAGACTGCGGCCACAGAATTCCTTTCTGGCTCTTACTCAGCACGAACGATATTTAATCAAATTCACATTTGTAATGATTCAGCAAATCAGGCTGTTTTTAGTGGTTGATCTGTCAGTGATGACAAACTGAAAAAGCAGTATGATGAATCAGGACAATGGGATTCGTCCTTTAGCTCCATACCCTTTAACAGTGTCAGGAGGGTGTGGGTCTCACTGAGGAGCCAGCATGTATCCTCTCTGACCAAGACAGGCCATCAGTGAACCTCGCTACCTGTGGCGCCTGAAAAGGGCAGGAATGCCATCTCTCACCCTCTGCACCTACAGAGGCACCATTCAGAGTGTTCTTAGAAACTGCACCACAGCCTGGTTCGGGTGCCACAACGCCTTGGAGCACCAGCTTCTTCAGCAGCTTCTTAAAACAGCAGAGAAGTTGCCGGGAGCATTCTGCCTTCCCAGCTGGACGTTTATAATGGCTGCGGCATCCAGAGGGGCCAATGGCATCAGCCACTGAACTCCACTCATAGCCTTTTTTCTCCACTGCCATCTGCTAGGAGGCCTTTGCAAACTGAAAGCTGGGACAATGAGACATTTTCTCCTGAGACTGTTCGATTGCTGAATGGTCTGGCTCCTCCCAGCCTAAGTCTGGGTCTGTTAAAAGGACTGATAGCTCTGGACTCACAGCTCTGTATATGAATCTGTTTATTCATTGTACATTTTGCTTCAATGCCAAATTTCTGTAACAGTTTTGCACTTCATCAACAGGCTGTTAACCATACCTTTCAATCTGTCTTAATGCCATGTCTTAAATTGTTGTCTATATTATGCTTATATGTCTCAGTATTTATATTGTATTACTTTTCATTTGCACTTTGACCAATGAGAACGATATTTCAGCTCAGTGTTTGACTCCACACATCATATATCTGAAGCTGATAGTTAGAAGTTCTCTGACTGATGTCATCTGTCTCTAAGGGACAAAAGGTGCCTGAAGACTAACAGCAGTTACTGTGCAGCGTGGCTGTTTAAACAGCTGTGCAGTCGCAGTTGTTAAATTTCAGTCCATTTTCGTGTACCGGTTATGTGAACCTGATGAGCATGGTCAAGGGGTCGTTCCGCTGCTTCTGATTGATCCTCTCCAGCATTTCGCCTGGAGTGGAGAAGGACATGGACCCTTTGAAGAAGTGTTCCAGAAAGGCCCGGTCGATTGTGGCTCCCTTGCCAAGAGCCGCATGGAGGTTGTTGCTGAGCAGCCCGGAGATGCTGCCCGGGTCGTTCCTGGAGCCGAAGAAGAGGAACAGGGCGTAGCAGTCCCGGCCGATGGAGGAGCAGAACCGCACCATCCTCTCCGGCCGGCTCCACTGGCCCGATGCCATCTCGGCGATGCGTAGGGACTCCTCAGGGGCTTCTGGGGGGGGTATGGTGTCATCCAGACTGTACAGAACCCGAACGACTATCTGGGCCTCAAGTGCTTCTCCATGTCTCTCAGGGAAGGTCCACACCCAGTCAGCTCCCAGCAGGACCTTCTGCTCTCTGCTCATGGCGGTGCAGCTGAAGGAGTCTGACATCTGCAGCTGTGCACTGCGGCTGATGCAGCTCATCAGGAAGATCTCCTCCAGGGCACCAGGGCTCAGGTGGAATCTACCTCTGGGGTCACAGAACTCCAGGTACTCTCGAACCCTAGCAGAGGCGCGGAGGACGCTGTCGCTGAAGGCCTGGATGACGTTCCCGCGTTGCTTGTTTGGCGTAATTAAGATGTTCTTTAACATAGTGCGCTGTCCTCCTGGTTTGGTCTCCATTTGTCCCATTGGCAGAGGCTGAGGTTACTTTAGCCCAAAAGAAGATTAAATTAACAAGCCATTAACACTGAAAATTAACATGCATTTACACTGGATGAGGATTCATAAAGGGGAAGACTATACCAGCAAGAGAAGCAGAGAAACCTTCTAAGCATAAACGGGCTCTCTTGCTGCTGCCCGTAAGCCCCCTTCTGCTAGGATTCACCTGCCTCCTCCTGCCCGGCGGAGATGGGATCTACATGGGGTGAAGCCTGCAGGGGACCTTGCCAGGAGGTAACTGACACTGCCAGATGGACCCTCCCTAGAACCTGATACCCGCTGTTTTGTTTAAAAAAATAAAACTGTTTGACTGTCTTAAAAACAACACATACACTTTTAAAACAAAGGGGTGTGTGTCATGTGACAAACTGGACAAACTGGTGTGTGCAGTGCTGGCTTCCTGGTGAGCTAATTTGCTGGGATCAACCAAAAATGCTAGTCTGGGGGGGGGGGTTGCTGTTCATTGACCTTATCAACCTTCCCTAATTAATGGTCAGCATTAACTCCCTGGGTAGAACACAAACCAAACTGTAGCAGAAGTTGCATTTAATTTAACACCTCTTTTCCTAAAGCAACACACATTTTTGAGAATGCAGGGTCAGACAGTTCCTGCGGTAATTAGGGGTTAAGGATCTTGCTCAGAGGCTCAGCCGTGTCATTCCTCTGCTGCCCCTGGGATTAGAGCCAGCAACCCACCGATCAATGGATCAGCAGCCGAACATGCTGAGCCACACACTCAGAGTAATTAACTGAGCTGAGTAACCTTCATTTTGTGTTGGACACGCTGTGTGTGTAACAAACAGCATTCGGCACTTAGATTCAGAACTCAGATTACATTTATTCATCATTGTAACTTCCTGTTTACATACTATTCACAATGACTTTGGAACAGTATGCATTACTGCATTATATGAGAGCAAGTGGTTATAAAAATATGCTGGCCATCTTATAGCAAAATAACAATGTATACTCCTTAAAAGCTTGTCCAGAGATGTAGGATTGGCTCACATTATATAACTGACCATAAATATTAAATATCCCAAAGTGTGCAAATATTGCACAAGGCACCACACAGCAACTGTTTGAACAGTAAGGATAATCAAAGAGCGTCACGTTTGTACAGGAATAGTACGGCATGTAAATGTGTGAAACGTCATGGTTATAAAGTATTCAGAGTACAAGGTAACATAATGGAGAGCGAGAGTAAAACACGAAACTGTCCATCTCGTCATGGGACGCTGGGAGGAGGTATATCAGCTTCTCCGTCCGGCCTGCTCCAGCCGCTCACCATCGCGGTCGAAGATGGGGCTGAGCCCCCGCAAGCCAGCATAGGGGAGGACGGGCCCGTTGGTCGCCGCCGGCGACATGTCCGCTGGGCAGATGTAGTCTGTTGAGTCGTCCAGCTTCTTCTTCCTGAGATGTCCAAAGGTGGAGAAGCCAAGCTTCTTGGGCTGAAAGGGACAGAGAGCGTTTGGGGTTGGGGCAAGAGAGCGACAACACTAACCGTAAACCACCCCCCCCCCCCCCACCACCAACCGCAGAGGTGGCAGGAATGAAGAGTACACTAAATACTGATAAAGCAGCACCCCCACGCCTTTTTTTCCGCCTCAGCGAGGGAGGGGCCAGGTGGGTGCGTGCTGCTTATCTCAGCAAACAGGAATACGAACCCCACACAGCAGGATTCAGGCCTGAAACTTCAGCCGGGGATTAAGTAAAGCTTCCTGAGGCTGTGCCCCCGCCCGGCCAGGTGGAGCCACGCCTGAATTTTGGCAGTGCTGGTGAGGGGCGTGTACCCTGACTGTCTGCCCCCCTGCCTGCCCAGCGGGGGCTGCGTCCACATTTTGCCGGTGGTAGTGAGGGGCGTGTACCCCGAGGCTGTCCCCCCGCCCGCCCCCCGACGACCAGGGCCTCACCCGCACTTTAGCGGTGGTAGTGAGGGGCGTGTACCCCGAGGCTGTCCCCCCGCCCGCCCCCCGACGACCAGGGCCTCACCCGCACTTTAGCGGTGGTAGTGAGGGGCGTGTACCCCGAGGCTGTCCCCCCGCCCGCCCCCCGACGACCAGGGCCTCACCCGCACTTTAGCGGTGGTAGTGAGGGGCGTGTACCCCGAGGCCCCCATGCACTGCCGCTTCTCCATTTGCGCCTGGGGGCCCACCAGCGTGGTGAAGTTGGTGGCCAGGTGGCGCCGCAGCAGTGTCTTCTGGGGTGGGATGTTCAGCATCATGGCCAGTGTGTCTGAGTTGAAGCGTGGCTCCAGGATCTGCGGGGGGGGGGCACAAGAGGTGTGGATGGAAAGGAAATCTATCAGTCTGCTGTCAGTGTACAGATCTCTCAGTGGTGGCGTGTTGGGGGAGCGGAATCACGGCAAAAGACAAAAACAGACCAAATAAGCCAATCATAATGACCAGGCTCTTTTCACGCTCCACCTTAAACACCTTGGAGTCCGTGGTGGAGAAGAGCATAATCAAGAAAATGTTCTCCATTATGGACAATGACAGACATCCCCCGTATAATATGCTGCTTCAACACCTTCAGCAGCAGGGTCATTCAGCTCTGCTGCAACAGGGCAGAAATCAGTCCTGCCAACCACCATTGTAGGGAATCCATTAGGTGTCACGGTAGAAAAAAATCTAATTTGTGCTCTTCTGCGCTCGAGTTAGTAATTTGATCCCCCAAATTAATCACCAATCGGAGAGCACGAATTACTAACAGGAGCAAACAAATTAATAACTTCAGAGCACCAATTACTAATTCGAGCACACTAGGTCTGTCACTATATTAATAATCAAGTAAGAGGAGAAACGTGAGGAAGAACTGGTCACGAAAAGCCCTTCGTATTCCGCTGCATTTGTATTTTATAATGACAATGAGCAAAAGCTCACAAAGTGATTTAACAGCACTGCTTTGTGTCTGTTGGCACAAATCTCAACAACACCAAGGTGATGTGTGACAGACTGTTAGCAGATTGACTATCGGTGGTTAAAGGTAGAAAAGTTCTACATTTGGCTATAATATTTTCAACTCTTAAATGTTGCTATATAATCATTACCTAGTCTCGTTCAGCTCTACTCAAAACACGCAATATGTTAACAAAACATAATTAATGTGACGTGGTTATTATGTACAGTATTATGATGTGGTTAAGCTACACGGTAAAGCCTTAGTTTTAGCAGCGATTATTTTGATATACAGGAATCACAATAGAAAAATTAAGTCAATTGTTGAGAAACACAGGCTAGGCTACCTGGAGTAGCTAAATGGGAGTAGCTACTTGGAGTAGCTAAATCTACGGCTAATCTCCTCCGTCAAACCTGAATGTCTTCTTTTACGATGTATTTGCATGGCAGTTGTGCCGTGATGATATTCAAGTTCTGCTTTACAATACTGACAGACGGCTGCATTTTCTTTCACCTTTAATGTGTCGCGCTTCCAGTCTTTACTTGGACCCTCATCCTGCATGAGCCGTCTACCTTCTGCCATATTGCTGAGTAATCGAGAAGGAAATTTTCAATCGATGCTTTTTTAATAATCGAGTTTAATCGAGTCATAGTGACGGCTCTATAGCGCACAAATTCGTAACTCAAGCGCACGGATTAGTAACTTGAGAGCATGAATCGCTACGAAATAATAGTTTTTTTCTACCACGACACATAAGGGCCTCCTTACCATTGCATTGTACAACAGGGCACGTCATTGTCAAGCAAGGGGAGTGTTGGTCTCTGTAAGCTGCTCATGTATCCTGCACATTATCTGCAATCCTGCACATTATCTGCACATTACTTGCACAAAACTAGCAATTATTTGCACATAATTAGGATATTCTTTGTGCATTATTTGATTGTTTTTGTTTTATTTTTATTTTTTTATGAAATGCTGGGTTGTGATGTATGTTATATAATGTTACATGGTGTCAATAATGGTTCTGTAACTGGAGAATCTCTCTCTAAGGAATTAATAAAATTCTCCCCTCCCCCCTGACTCTCCCTCTCTCTTCCTCTCACTCTCTCTCCTCCCCTGTCTCACTCTCTGTCTTTCTCCCCCCTTCTGTGCCCCCCCCACCCCCCCCCCCTCTGTAGGCGCCTCGCTGACTCACCAGCAGCCCTCCATGCACGCCGCTACCTCGCAGGTTGGCTGCGTATTCTGCAAGGTCCACCGAGCGCAGCCACTCCATCACGCGGTGGTTGGACCACTGGATCACCTCTGAAGGCGACATCTTGCTCTGCAATGGTATTATGCACAGTCCATAATAGGGCACTCCCCCCGATTAATTGTGAGGCTCGGTCGCAATAGCGTACCTCATCCCCTGGGCGGCGCCGCAGACAGTTCGGGTTAAACTTGTTGATGTGCAGCACATGGATGGCGCTCTTTATGCTCAGGTGATGCAGCAGGCTTGTGACCTTCAGGAAGAGGAGGTCGCTCTGCGAAGTGGGATGGGAGCGCCCTCGTGAGGACCTCACAGGTACTGCAGCATGTTTAAATGGCCTGTCAGCGGGGGCGGGGGCCTTACCAGCGTCAGGTACTGCAGCATCCTGCCGTCCACTCGCGCCTCGTTGAACTGGTCCTTGTACTGGGGCAAGCCGATGTCGTCGAGCCAGCCTGCGAATGCACAAGCGCGACGCTGTTTGGCATCGTCACACACGCTCGCCGGGGGGAGGGCATGGCCGTCGTGGTTGGTACGCACGTGTCACCCAGATGTGGTCCAGCTCTGCCGACTTCTCTGGCACCTTGGAGCTGAAGGAGCGCACGGCCAGCTGGATCTTCTTGCGGTGCAGGGGATGCTTGATTCCCATCTCCTGGGGGGCAAGAACATGTCACGCTGACATGCAGAGGTGGACGGGCCACCCCCAGCAGGAAGTGCCCCCCCCCACACTGTACCTTCTCAATGTCCTGGGGCGTGGCTGCTAGCAGTGTCTGTCCCGAGGTGACCCACAGCCGCGTGAGGCTCACATACTGCCCCAGGCCCTCGTCCTCCAGCCATCCGCACACCTGCTCCTTGGTCCACTTGACAAAAGGTGTGTTCTTGTCCCTAAGAGAAAGCAGCAGATGTCACTGTGTCATCAGAGTGCCCCCCCCCTTGGAACTGGTATGAATCCAGACTGAAACCGTCGTCTCTGTGTCTGTGCGGATTCGGCTAATGTACCGGATGGAGCTGCCGCTGTCGGGGGTGCGGGCAAGTCGGGGTCCTGCTGTGGCCCTCAGGCCCCCCCGCCTAAACGACGAGGGCTCCAGCTCGTCTCTTTGCAGGCTGCCCGACTGCGTCCTCCGGATCCTGAGGGGGACGGTGGCCGGTTAAATGTGCACCACGAGATGCATGTCAAACAAACATGACACTCATGCAGTGACTCACTTTCCCCAGAACTTCTTGATTCCCTTCTGGTTCTTCCTATGCTCTGGTGAGACAGGCGAGTTCTGGCCCGAATCCACGCCAGACGAGCTGGCTGAGACGTCCGGCGAGGCCCTCGCCTCCGTCTTCCCTGCAGCGTAGAGAAACGGAGACGCTTTCAGAGAGTTCGGCTGTGTGCGTCTCTCAATAGTGAGGGTGTGATTCCAGCCACGCACTCTGTGGTCTGGCCTGGGCTATAGGAAGCCACGTGCGCTCAGAACCGCACGGAAAGCAAACGTCTCGAGGCATGTGGAGTCACAGCTACACGGCGGAGCAGGAAAGACTGGATCTCTCTAGTTATGCAAGAAAAACATGTAGAAACCGAGAATAACCCACCAGCTCCAAAAAGATCTGGTTTCCCACGGGATACTGGTCTAAAGAAAAGCGGAGAGGGGGGGGGGGAGGGGGGTTGAAGTGCAGATGAAAGTCACACGCTCTGCATCCACAACATCTGCTCTGCAGGGCCAGCAAAGCACAACAAAGCAGCCTGAGCAGCCTTATGTATTATGCAAGATGCGTTAAGCTGGCGGTTATGTTCTACACAGCAATTAAGCCCGTGTGCGGTGTGTTTACTGAACGTGGAGCAGATGTATCGAATGTGTCGGTTGGAGCACCTGGTAGTTCAGCTTTCAGGTGTTTGGTGCACTCGATGGTGGGCTCAGGGCATTGTGTTTGCAGCAGGAAGATACAAAACCATGAGAGAGCAGACAGATGCCCCCAGGAAAAGCTGGTTAAGAGAGAATGAGCACAGGCCAGGCGGCTTTACAATGTAACTTTCCAGTGGGGGGGGTTGGTGCCAGGGCTCTTGTGGACTCGATGCGTAAAGCCGGAACACTGGAACATCGAGTGAGAGAGAGGGCAGGGCATAGAACAGAGGCAAAGGGTAGAGTGGTTAAGAGTGAGCAAGAGGGGCCGGGCAAGAACGGTAGCCATTAATACAAAAGAAAGAGTTTTGGGAAGAAGGCAGGGCGCCTCCTGCTGGTCAGCCCAGGAAGAGCGCTGCAGGGTCTCTTCACAGAAAAATCCACAGAAAAGGCAGGCAATCACTTCATCTTAACTGGCACACTCACCACCTCCATATGTATTTATTCTACTTTTAACTGTTTAGAATTAGCAAATGTTGTAGTAAATGTTTGGCCGCTTTCCCACTATGCGGTACACAGTACGGTACTCTTGGTATGGTACTTTTGGTACTTTCGCGTTTCCACTGACTTCCGGTCGAGTACCAGTACCGAAAGTGCCAAACCAGCTGGGGTACTTTGGTACTTCGGTACTTTGGGGTGGGAGTTTAAACGCTTTGTTTGTCGACTTGTTATGCAAATAGCCTGCCTCTGAAACACAATACCAACGCCGCCTTGAAAACAGCCGCAAACTCAGAAAAAAACGAAGTAAAAAATATGCAATTTCGTCGTAAGAAGATATAAAACAAAAAGATCCGGATGGCAGGACAAGAAATGAAAAAGTATTTTGTTGAATATACTAATACAGCACGTATATAGGATATATTAGATTTTGTCGTAATAAATATTGGGGTATTTATAAAACAGGAGTTCTATAAAAAAGGAAAATTTCTCACAAACTCCTCTTCGAGTGATTTAAATGGCAAGGATGAAATGATTATGATTATCTTGGAGTACGCATGCAGCGCTCATGTAAAAGCAGCTAAGGTAAAGCTTTAAACTTATTTGTAAACATAAAAAAAAATCTATAAATGGAATAATAATTTAAATTGCAACGCTTGCTAAGTTAGAATTAGAATTAGGTGATCTGTGGTCATTGTTGACACACCACAGCACACAACAACAAAATGTGTCCTCTGCATTTAACCCATATGTGACATAGCAGGGGGCGGCTAATTCAGTGCCCGGGGAGCAGTGCTTGGGGGCGGTACCTTACTCAGGGCACCTCAGTGGTGCCCTGAACCAGCAATCTTTCAATTACAAGTGCATGTCCCTAACCATTAAGCCATCACTGCCCCGGTTATTTCCCATGAGAGTAACAGAGAAAAGTATTTTAGCAAAACTTTAACCCCCCACGCTATAATGTCCATACAGAATTGAAAGTAAGAAAAAAGCTTTATTTTAATATAGCTGACAAGCGATGTAAGAATTGTACGTGCATAACATGCAATGTTGGTATTAATCAGCATCAGCAAGCCGTATAATATACTACAGCCTTTTTTTGAATTCAGTACAAAATGCCCCGCCTTGAGTTGTGATGTCATTCGGCACCAGTACCAGTTTTTATGCTGCCGGAAAACCAAAACCTTGAAGTGCCGTACTTCTGGTACTTTCTCAAAGTACAAAAAGTACAGTACCTGGGGTGGTGGAAAAACGCACAGAGATGAAACAGCACCACCTTCAGGCTGCCCTCTGCACTGGCAGACGCTATGTCAACAGGTCACCTGATCCCAGTGTTGTATTGTAAACAGGCGGCTGATAGCCGGGTGTCGGTAACACAACCCCCAGTGACACATACTCAGGATGAGGTCGCCGTCATTCCTGGGCGCTGCGGGCGACGGCGTCTCTCTGCTCCCATTCTGCGCGGCCAGCCACCGCTTCCCTGGAAGTGTCTGAAATTTACCGCTTTCCGGATGTCGGATCTGGGAACAGGAAACACGGGACTTAAAAGCGGCAAGTGGGAGCTTTGGTGTACGGGGGACATGCAGGGGAGGGGGGGGGGGGCATAGAGGAGGATGCATTTCGGAAGTAAAGCTGAGTGTTACAGGTTTCAAAGCCGGCGGAGGTGAGTCGGCCTCCTTCAGAGACAGCAGATCCAGGTCAAACACATACAGTCCGAGAGTTAAAAAGGGCAGGAATCAGAGAGACGGCTCAGTGCTTTGAGTGTGGGGTTAAAGGTCACAGTGACATCATCCAGTGGAAATACCTCTGGCGATACGCAGTGTACTGGCTCCCCAGCCGCAAGCTGTCAGTGCATGTGAATCAAAAGAAGGGAGAGCGTGAGCGACGTCACGCAAAGGCACTCAGAGCTGTGGTCAGAGGTTTACATTCACTCATCAGGGGCATGAATGTCATTTTTTAAGCTTTTAATGATTTATAAGAACCATTCTTTTCATCATCTTCAATGATTTTTAAAAACAAGAATTGGGTGCATAAGATTGAATATATTTTGGATTTTCTGCAATCCACACAGGGTCAATAATTATACATACTGTAATATTTGGTTAAATGTCCCGTAACAAGTTGCACCCAGATAAGATGCTTTCTGTCGCCATCAGCAAGCTTCTGGCATAGTTCTGGCTGGATATTTGACCACTCTTCTTGGCAGAGTTCACTTAAATTGGTTGTTTTCCCGGCACGGACCCGGCTTTTAAGCAGAGTCCACAAATTTTAAATAGGGTTGAGGTTTGAGAAAGCCATTCCAGAAGCTTAATGTCAGCCTGCTTTATCCATTCCAAAACCAGTTTTACAGTGACACACTTCAAACTACATTTATTCAGAGTGACACTGTTAAAATGACACTTATTCACAGTGACACTTGTGAAACGACACTTTAACCAGGGATGGTATAATCGCGGACCTTTTTTCCCTAAACATTAGCCAGTGAAACAGGAAGAGCTGAGGCCATGTGAAGTGTTTAGCCCCCTTTTAGTTGCCCCCTGTTAGTTATCACAGTTGGACCCCATCACCATATGCTGTGACAAAAGAGGAACATGGAGGCCAAACCTGCACAGGTCCACACTGCAGCTCCTCTAGACTGGAGGACAGCATCCGTGTTTTTGTCCTGGTGAATGACAATGAACATTAAAGTCATTACTAAACACAAGTTGGAGGGCTCATGGAAGTGCAGTTTCACCAACGACCCCTAGGTGTCCCCTTTGAGCAGAGCAGCCCGATCAGAGAAATTATCTGGCCTTTGGCTGGTGTTGAACCAGTCAATGATGTAAACAGGGTGGATGTTTAAAAGTCATATAATCCAGTGACGTCTTCACTTACCACTGTCCGTTCGGGCAGCTGGCGTTGCCAGGTGACACTGCAGACCCAGGGGACACTGCAGACCCTGGAGACACCTGTGTACTCCTGGAGCACAAAGGTGGAGCCCTTAAAAACAGCTCAGGGATACATGCATAACCATAACCCTCAGCCCTCTCTGTCACCTCCCTACCTGGAGTTAAGAGAAGATGGGGAGGCCACGATCGGTGAGGAACCCCTGGAAGACACCTGGGGGAGGGGAGAGTGGGAGTCAGAGGAGGTGCAAGGGGCAGGAGCGGCTGCACAGTGTGGAGGGGTGCGACTCTCACCTCCAGGCGGAGGATCTCCACGCTGGCTCTGTGAGTGAGACCCCTCAGCCCCCCGCTTCTGGAGAGATCCTCCTCACTGCCACCTGGCAGCTTCTCATTGGCTAATTGGCAGGTAAACAACAAAACAAGGCATTAATCCCAGCTGCCAGATGGGTCTGTATGTAATATGATAATGCAACACTTTTATTCTCAAAGTGAGTAAAAACAAATTACCTTGAGCGAGGCCCATGTCATCCTTGATCTTTCTGTACTGTTCTAGAAGGGCGCCCAACTCCTGGATGCGTCGGTCCTGAAGCCAAGCAATTGGCTTTTTAGTTAAACAGGCAACGCGGCACAACCATAACAAGTGCCAGGATGGGTCTCCAATCCCGGGGGGGGGGCATGCAGACGGCACAAACGTGGGATTGGAGTCTCCAGCCTGCCAGACGTGTGATCTCAGTGCACGAAAGGACCAGCACTGAAGTGTAAAGACACTGATTCTGAATGGAAATGCAAATCGCCCAGTTAATAAATAATAAGCCTCCAGGCTGACCCGCTTTTTTCGGACCCGCAGCTCAGATTAATGTGCATCATTGTGGCCGCCGCCCACCTGTCAAACTGTGTCCCCTTTCATAGTAAGCAGCTGCATGACAAACGATTGCGTTCTCAGCCAGACGGTAGCAGGGCTCAGGTCCAAAGGCAACGTCAGGACCCCGTATCCGGAATAGGAACAGAGCCCTTTTCTAAAATGCAGCTTGCGTGGGACTTTCCGTAACAACGGGTTTATACTGCGGTGTGATTCATGTCTGTGGCTTGCGGCTTTTAGTCGTCTCATGGACTTCTATCTTCACCCGCACGCATGCATGGGTTGTAAAACAAAAACGGCCCGTGTGGGCAGGCTCCAGGCTTGTGGCTGCAGATGTTGGGCATTTTGTGACGGGAATAAATCACTCTGTGGTTCGACTCTGCTCTTCACTAAATGCGTCAAGCTGGTATAGTGATTCCGGGCAGATTCTGCACCATAGTACAGATATCTGTGCATGACGGTATTGTGAGTGACGTGAGTGTGGCGGTCACTGACCTTCTCCTCATTGGCTGCCAGCAGAGCCTCCATCCCAATTCTCAGTCTCTGCAGCTCCTGATCTGCAGCGAGACAGACATCAGCTGCCAGAAAACCGCAATCGCCAGTGAAAATATTTTCCTTTTCCTCAAAATAACTTTCCGATGTGGATCGAGCATCTGGCTGCAGTCATGCGGGCTGGAGACGTCTTGCTCGCCCTTAATAACCGCTCTCAGGAGGCCGTCGGAGGATGAGGAGACACCCAGATACAGTTCATGGGCAGTGTGTAGGGAGGCGGATTGGGGGGGTGGAGCGATGTGCTGGATCACTAAAGCTCTCAAACCCGGTACAAGCAAGCAAAATTTGGAACTTAAGGCCTTGGATTGGACTCACTGTTTCTAGCTAGTTGCTAGCCCCCACCCTCACCCAGTGACTGGAATGTAAAGTACCATTAGCATGTGGCGGGGGGGTTACACTACTCATGAGCACAGACATCCCCCTACTGTGGTTAATGTCCACCCCCCCATTCCCCCTCGGACTGATGGACAGGGTGTGACAGGCAGGACACGGTGTGACAAATAACTGATGACGGGGGGTGGGGGGGGTGGTGACTGATGAGCCTTTCAGGCTTTTTCTGCAGGGTAGGTGGGGGGCTGCATAGCGACGACAGCATTGGGGGGGGATCAGGAGCAGGGGACTTTTACTTTTCTTAGTAATGGACGTGGTCTTTGGCAGCTGAAGAGTGTAAAACAGGTACGCAAGAACACAAGTATGGTCAAGTATGCATATTGGGAGGCAGCCAAGCTGGTCCCGGGGCAGCAGTGGTCACTTGGCCGCTTGGCCCCGCCCCCGGCCCACCTGCATGTGACTGTCTCAGGCTCCGGAGCCCAGCGTGACAGTACCTCTCTCTGCATTGTCGTCAGATGCCGGGACACGGGACAGAAGCTGCATCTGCAGACCCTCGATTTCGGCATCTTTTGCCGCCAGGAGCTGCTGAAGGTTTGAGATTTCAGCCTGGGGGGGGGTGGTTAGAGAGAGGGAGGGAGAGAGAATGAGTTCTGTTACTGAGAGAAGCACTCAAAAGATGATCGCATACATATCAACTGACACATGTATAACAAACATACATAAACACATACAAACATACACACACGCATTTACAAACATACATAAACACATACAAACATACACACACGCATTTACAAACATACATAAACACATACAAACATACACACACGCATTTACAAACATATATAAACACATACAAACATACACAGACACATTTACAAACATATATAAACACATACAGCCATGTAAAGAATGAAGAGACCACAGCACAATTTTTTGTTTCACTCATTTCTCAATTTATGGGTGTGCATCTGTGAATAATATATATATATATATATATATATATTTTGCAAACTCCAGCCTGGTTGTTTTCTTTCTCATTAATGAAGGGCTTCTTCCTTGCTATATGGGACTTCAATCCTGCTTTCTAGGAGCCTGATATGAACTGTCCTAGCAGTGCACTTCACACCTGCACTTAATGTTTCCCATTCTTTTTGAAGGTCACTTCATGTCATCCTACAATTCATGAAAAATTGTCAAATAAGTTAACCGACATCTCTGGCTTTAGAAATTCGCTTCTGCCCTCTGCCTGGCTGGTTGCTGGTCGTTCCCAGTGTCTCCTGCTTCACCTTATTCTTGAGTACTGCTGTCTTAGAAATTTTGTACCTAGAAGCGACCTGCTGCTCAGTATAGTATTCTGCAAACCGGGATTTAAAAATGCAGATTTGTTTAAAAATATAGAGTGGTCTCTTAATTTTTTCCATGGCTGTGTACAAACACACTATACAAAAATACAAATTGCATAGGTAACTATGCAAGTAGGAAAAATGAAATGGGAAACTCAATATATATAAATATCAACCCATAACTAATTAAAAAGCAAGAACATCTCTAACGTATCAGTTTAAAAGTGGAAAATGAGAGTAGTGACTACAAGTTCAAGCCGGCAGGAGCACGGGGTGTGGAACTAGAAGTGAGGCCCAGGGTGTTCATACCACCACAGATGGTCACCCCAGGCCAACCCTAGTGACCGTACATATGGAAGGTGCTGTTTGGTTGGGAAACGGGAATGTTTTTCGGAGGGAGAGAGGGCAGGGGGTTGTCAGGAGAAGGAGGGCTCCTGACCAGAGAGACGCTAGACCGTCTGCATTAAGGCCGCAAGACCAGTAGGGGGTGCCAGCAGCCCATCAGGCTGCCCTGCTGAGGTTGTGATGCCCTCAGGGGGCTTACAGCCAGCCAGTCAGCTCAGGCGATGACAGGCCTAGAAGCGACGCTGTGTTCCGTCCTGCAGCCTCGGACAAAAGCCTCACACTCAGCGGAGCAGCTCATGGTCACAAAGTGTAAAAAGCAAACCGCCATTTTATCGCAGTTAAAAGGAGAATCTAAATGGTGCGCCCCCCCAAGACATGCCCAAAATCAAAACACAAAAGCCTCAACAATCAGATCATCAAGCCAAGTGTCTATATGACAGACAGAGACACTGCAATATGGCTGGTTAGGGCAGCAGGGTTTGAGGGTCACGATGGCGGCTGAACAGATGAGCGCCCGCCCGGTGCCCTCTTTACCTTGGTGGACTTCAGTTTCCTCTCATACTGGCATTTCTCCCCTTCCAGCTCATCCACTTTACTCTTCAGGTGTCTGAGCTCCTGCAGGAGGCCCTGTCCATGTCAGAGACACGAATGAGAATCAGCATCGCCGCTTTGATAATGTCCCCGAGATGATGGTTAACTCTGCTGCAGGATGCATGCAAATGAGAAAGGGGACACTTCAGCTCTTTTTGTAGGGAACTACATCATCACACCGTTTTATCACGTTCATTTCCCCAAAATGCAATTAAAAATGATCCTACCACTTACCATGATAAAACAGTATTTTTACACATGGCTACCAGTACAAGGTTTATTTTTACTAGAGGAAGATGGGAAAACAGGAAGGCAAAGACAGTTTGTGAAATTCTCATGGACACCGTTTTCCAGCAGTGCGGCCACTTCAGAGCCCGAACCAATATGGCCGCCGCCGCGGTTACGGGTGTGGGCCTGTGCCCTGGAGTGGCAGCTGCCGACGGCCGTGTCTGTTAACGACTGACACACACACACGGCACAGGCTCGAAATTTGGATGCTTGAACTGGTGTCCGATGATAAGTGACGGACCAGTAAAATCCAGCTTGGAGGAGGAAGAGGAAAATGACACAAACCCAGAAGAAGCACCCATGCAGACACTCTATGCAGAGCCATGGCACCGAGAGTGATGACCACGCGGGATTAGTGACCCACAGAGCCACACGACGGCACCCCCACAGGGCCCCCTAGGGGCCAGCGGTTAGTGTTAGCGCCCGCGGCGGCCGTGCAGGACGGGGAGCATACGTTCTCGCCCTTATTTTGACTGGGGTCCTCAGCAGGTGCGCTGCACGGGCCTTGGACCGGCCACGCGTGGGGCCCCTCGGCGCTACGGCCAGCCTGGCCCTCCAGGGCCTGCTTCTCCTGGATTCTGGTACTGATCTCCTGCTGAAACTTACACATCTGCTCCTGGAGCTCGCTAATCAGATTGACTACACACTGGGAGGAGGAGGGGAGAGAGGGAAACACAAACAGAGAGGCGAGTGCATGAGAGGAGAGCCACGGGGCAGGAGTGGAGCCACAGAGTACCTGATGGGGGCGGGTGGG